GTTGTCTTTTACTTAATTTTTCTAGGCTAGAGTTTCCTTATCATAAAATGGAGACAGTGATGGAAACTCCCTTGAAGGGCTGTTATAAAAATGGGATGGGAGTACATGTGAAGAATTCAGCCTAGAACCTGGTACTATAGTCATTGCCAGCCCCCAGGGTATCACAGGGAGGCGAGATCAAAACTCCGGAGAACCTACACCCAGTCCGAAGCCAATGTCTTCATCACTACCTTCTATTACCGCCTCCAGTTTGCAGATTTCATGAGGCCCTCTTTTATGGGTCATATATCCTGCTTTTACTACTATTGGGTCTTGGCAACTGTGCAGGTTTTGCTGACAAGGGTTATATGGCAACTGTTGGCCTAGGCTGGAGATAAGAGGAGGAAAAACAACCTGCCACCTTCCTTGGCTCAGATTCAGTCTTGATCAGCCCCCTTCTAGATTCTGCCTCCAGTGTGAGAGACTTGTTAGAGAACCCACACCACAGGGAAAGGACTTGGCCACACCCTAGAGCCTCCGGCTTCTCAGTCATCCAATCCACCCTCCCACTCACCCAATTTACCTTCTGTGCTGGCTGTCAGAGAAAGCTTCCAAAGCACAGCAGTAATTCATATGGGCTCCCCTTTCACCCAATTTGATTACCTACCTAGGTAACTGCACTTCTCAGAGCCTCAGTGTTCCCATCTGCAAAATGGTGATAATAACTGTACCTACTTCAAAGAACTATTTTGTGGGCCAAATGAGGAAAACACTGCTGGTATTTCCCCATCCCTCTATTTGTCAACTATCTCTACCTGACAAACTCCTACTTGTCTTTTAAATACCAGCTCAGATGATCTCTTATTTGTAAAGCCCTCTCAGACATCAAGACAACATTGTTTTGGTCTTTCTTTTGTGTGTTCTCATTACACATTGTACTTGCTTATATCACTGCTAGAGGTGACATTCAAAATACTCAACAACTACTTGGGTATACTGCCCCATCAAAAGGGAAGCTGGCCTTGACACTGAAGGGGAGTAAGTGTCATTCATTGGATGCTGGACAGTGAGAAGGTCCAGAAAGTGCAGGGGAGGGAAGGGGTGACTGGAGTGACTGGGGTGGGGTGAAGGGGTGACAAGGCTTATTTACCAACTGCCATGCAAATACTTGAATATTTTAACAAGAGGAGGTGTTGGTGCTCACCGACTCAACTTTAGAACACTATCATGCTGTATTGTCAGCATTCTGTTGACTACTAGACTATGAGCTCTTGGAATTCAGGAAGAGTGTTTTGTTAATCCCTCTCTCCCCAGTGCCTTGAACAGAGATGGTGGAGTGGAGATAAGGCCCACAAGCGAGGCTGTGAAGGGTCCCTAAACTGTCTCCTTGGACCCCCTCCATGTGGATTTGGGCTCTGACTGAGAAAGAAAGCCTCAGGTTACCTTTAGCTCACCAGCTAGGACTTCAGTTAAGAGGCAATCCTCCCTCAGATTTGCATATTCATATATGCAAATAAGCCCCCTGATTTCATGCACCTGTCCTTGATTTTTTTTTTTTAAAGAGCCGTGCATATAAAATACCTGCAAAGGAATGTGGCAGGAGTGTGGCATAGAAGGCCCTTCGTGCTTGGGCTCCTGCTTGCCTCCAGGGACCCCATATCCTGCCCTGGAATTTCATCTCAGTCCCCAAATGAATTTTATCTTCATATCTCCTTTCAGGGACTCACCCCTAGTTTTTCAGGTAAATTTTTACTTTTGTTGCCTAACTCTAACTCTAACGCTAATCCTCTCCCCTGCCTGCTAGCCTTCCACTCCATCTAAATATCTCAGTATCAGTTGGTGTACATTGCCTTTTACTGTTTTTAACTTGTCTGTTCCCCCACTTCTCATTAGGAGGCACAGACTGTTTCCTTCCTGAGAGCCAGGTCAGAGCCTGATCCTACATAGATGCTCAATAGATGTCCGTAGACTTGAATGAATGACTGGACGAGTGATTTAATGAAAGTGATTCTGTTGTTAGCTTTTTTTTTTTTGAGTTGGAGTCTCACTCTGTCACCCAGACTGGAGTGCAGTAGCCGCTTCCGGCCACCATAGCCTCAACCTGCTGGGCTCTGGCAATCCTTCCGCCTCGGCCTTCCAAGTAGCTGGAACTACTTATTGTAAAGATGAGGTCTCACCAAGTTGCCCAGGTGAGTCTCGAACCCGCAGGCTCAGGCAATTCACTCACCTCAGCCTCCCCAAGTGAGGGATTACAGGCTGAGCCACTGAGCCCGGCTCCTGTTAGCTTTAACAGAGAGAAAAGCTTGGGGCCAGGACTCTTGGGAAGCCTTTGGTCTAGCCTGGAACCTTCTTTGACCTCTGCCTTTGTAAAACAAAAGATGAAAAGGGGCCAAGTATGGAGGTCACTCAGAGAACAAGATTTGGGGTGGGGGCATCTGGACTTCAGTTACCATTGGACTTCAGTTCCCTTTTAGGATGGAAAGAAATTGGTCTGAGAAGCAGAGGACCTGGCTTTAGTCCCAGAGTAGCCATCCACTTGCCAGGGTTGGGAACTATACACCTTAACTACTACTACCACTACTGCTATCACTGTTACTACTATTAACACTACTATAACCACTGACATGACCACCACTGCTATTACTGCCACTACTGTTACTATTACTAGTGGCACTCTAAAGCTTTTAAGTACGTTAAGTCATTGAGTTTGCATAACAATCTTATGAGACAGGTCGTATCATTATTCTCATTGTGCAGATTTTGAGGAAACTGAGACCCAGAGAATTTATGTAACTTGCCCAAGGAGCCACAGCTGGTAAGTGCAGAGCCAGGATCTGGAGAGTTGTCATCATCATACCGCTAATGTTGCTGTGCCAAGTACTGGACTCAACAGTTGCCTTTTGGAGAAGAGACTGTTATTATCTACATTTTTCTTAACAGATGAGGAATCTACCACTCAGAAAGATTTACGTAACTACTCCTATTTCAGAGACAGAATTTGATCACAAAATTATATGGCCATATTTTTTAAACAACTCTGCCCTGCCACAGCTCATGTAAGTCATTTCTCTTCTGTGAATCTCAGTTTCCCTTTTTTATGATCATGACGTTGGGCTAGATGAGCTCTTAAGGCCTCTCCCTTCTAGGTACGAATGAGGTCTGGCTTTCAGCTCTTTTGATAGGGCCTGGGTGAATGAGGAACGAGACATTATACCTGAAAGCCATCAAGAATGATGTGATTTAAGAAAATAAACTACCAAGGGCCAATCTGGTAACCTCCCCAGCTGGTGTGGAGGACAGACCCAGCTTTCTGAAACATTTCAGAAAATGTTGAAAAACCATCCTAGGCAAATGAGAAAGTAAAAGTCAGTAGCTCCCCAAAATATAATTTTTTAATCTAGTGTCAGTTATGGCCTCAAGATGGGCTCCATGACCAGGGAGATTAGGCAGCCTTCCCTAAATTAAAAACATTCCTCACCTCTTATTGTTCATATTTCAGATTTGTCTTTACCTTTGCTACAATCCCTTTGGGAGACAAATGAGATAATCATGCCTATTTCTCAGTTGAGAAAGCTGGGGCTGGGAGGAGATAAAATGATTAGTCCAGCCAAACCAAGACTCAAACCCAGGCCTCAGAAATCTCTGCCATACTGGGAAGGCTCCCTCTTAGGACATCTAGGGAAGAGAGAATAGAGGTGGGCATTTGCCATCTGCAAGTTTTCAATGACTGCAGGCATCTCTACAAAGGAGGGGCCTGGGGTGAGTTGTGAATGGTTTCAGGTAGGCAGAGGATTTGGGAAAAATGAGACCTTGGTGATACTGGGTGTCTTGACTGGTGAAGAAGGATTTCCCAGAATGCACTACAGATAACTATTGTGTCAGCCAAGCTCAACTCTTGCTTGTCATTGCCTTCCCTTTCTTGACCTCTCCCAAAGCACCCCTGAGCTGTCCCTTGCTTCCCCATTATCTGTTCTTAAGTAGCATCTGCGTGAAATTTTCAAGTTCACATGCAGCTAGAAAAAGCAAGTTCCTCTACAGCTTTCTGCTGCATTTATAGGCTGTGTCAGTGTTGACTCTCTTCCTGTTTATCCCTTTAGAGTCTACCAAAGGCTCTCATATACATCTTTATCTTACTGGGTATTCCCCACAATTCTGTCCTGAAGTGGTATGACTTCAAGTTTACCAATGAGAAAACTGAGTAAGTTGGCCAAAGCCACACAGCTAAGAAGTGGCAAAGCTAGGACTTGAATTCAGATCCATCTCTGAATCTCTTGCTCATTGTGTCGAACTGTCTGAAGTCAAATTCCAACTCCTCCTTGTTGACTTGGGGGAGTGCTACATAATTCTATTCAATGCCAGGTTGCTAAATTAGATTGGCTCTTGCCTTGCTCTGTGTGTCTGCCCAAGACCTCAACCTCTATGAGCCTTGATTTTTCTGTCCCTTCTGTAGAAGGGACTAGTGACAGCAGCTGTGCCCTCCATTCCCAAGATCCTGAGTGGACACATGAAAGGATAAAGATCCAGTGCTATGAGTTCCTTGGAAGAAAATTCTCATAAATTCAACAAGGTCATGTTTATGGGTGGAATCAAATCCCAGCTGGCAACCCGTGCTGCTGGCCAGCTGGGATAAAAGATGCAGACTTCATGTAAATGCTAGAGTGCCTCTGTTACACCAAAGACCCTCTTCTTTCGCTTCCTCCCCAAAGAAACCTCCTATGGTGTCTCACACATGTGTTCCTGCAGGTGTCACTCTGGAGACCAGGATTTATTGTTCAACACTCCCCTTACAAAAAGCCTGGGTATTTTGGTTTTGCCTCCCCCTACCCCCCAGCTCCCCAAGCCAAGTGCTGCCAAAGGCTGGTGAATGACCACTTGGTTCATCAGTAATGAGGTCTGGAGCCAGTGGGATATTTTGCCCAAAACTGAATTAAAATGTATCATACGCTGCCCTGAACTTGTGCCTCTACCTCCCCCAAGTGTCGTGGCCCAGGCTGGCAAAGGAGGCTGTGCAGAATACTTACTACACCCCTGGCCGACAGGAAGCCGAGCATCTGGAATGGCTGGCTGGGTGGGCAGCTGGACTGGGCCTCGGGGCTGTCTTTGCAGAGAGTCTTGGAGCAGCGACGGGAGTGCCTTCGGCGGGACTTCCGCCCTTCCTCAGGGGACCGGCCGTGATGCCTAGGGGCAGGGGAGAGACATCCGAGGGTCTTTTGAGGAGCTTCCTGGGAGATGGTTAAGGGAACAACAAGATCTGAGGATGATAGGGTGTACCTGGGGACAAGATGTGATTTTGTGATTCATATGTGATGTTGTTATGAGTATGGCTACATGTGTGTATAAAAGTTGGGCTGTGTGTTCATCTTTCCATCCATCC